ACTTTGCAACAGCTTTTTTGGCTATTTTGTCAGTTGGAAATCTTCGCCGCCACCACCATTTGATCCCTCATATTTCCTCTTCAAAATCCATACCACCACGTCGCTTGATCACTCATTGTTTTCCATAAAAGCCCATCGCTTTTCACACAAACGACCACTATGCAGCAGTGTTTTCGACTGTTTTGTCAGTCAAAAATCTTCACCACCACCAGCATTTGACCCCTCATCATCTCCTTGTCAAAACTCATACACCCCGTCGCTTAATCACTCACCGTTTGCTGGAAAAGCCCATTGCTTTTTCGCGCAAACTACCATTTTGTAGTTGTTTTTCTGGTCATTTTGTCAGTTGAAAATCTTCACCAATACCACCATTTGATTCCTCATCACCTCCTCTTCAAAATACATACCACTTTTTCGCTTGATCACTCATTGTTTGCTAGAAACGCCTACCACTTTATCATGCAAATGGCCACTTTGCAGTAGCTTTTTCGTTCGTTTTGTCAGTCAGAAATCTTCACTGCCACCACCATTCGATCCCTCATCATTTCCTCTTCAAAACCTATACCACCCCGTTGCCTTATGACTCACCATTTGCCAGAAAAGCCCACCAATTTTTCGCACAAATGGCCACTTTGCAGCCACTTTTTCGGCCGTTTTGTCAACCAAAAATATTCATTGCCACCACCATTCGAGCCCTTATCATCTCCCTTTAAGAATCCACACCACCCCGTTGTCTGATCACTCACTGTTTACCAAAAAAGCCCACCGCTTTTTTGCACAAACAACCACTTTGCAACCGCTTTTTCGACCGTTTTGTAGGCCAGAATTCTTCACTACCACCATTATTTCATCCCTCATCATCTACCACCCTGTCGCTTGGTCACTCATCGTTTCCTGGAAAAGCGCACCGCTTTTTCACACAAATGGCCACTTTGCTACCACTTTTCCAGTCATTTTGTCAGCAAGAAATCTTTACCACCGCCACCATTCAATCCCTCATAATCTCCTCTTCAAAACCCATACCACCTCGTCGCCTGATCACTCATCGTTTGCCAGAAAAGTCCACCGCTGTTTTGCGCAAACGACAACTTTACAGACGCTTTTCCTGTCGTTTGTTGCCAAGAAATATTTGCTGCCACCACCATTCACTCCCTTATCATCTCCTCTCCAAAACCCATACCACTTTGTCACTTGACCAGTCACCGTTTGCCGAAAAAGCCCACCGCTTTTTCGCACAAACGACCACTTTGCAGCCCCTTTTTCAGCCCTTTTTTAAGCCATAAATCTTCACTACCAGCAGCTTTTAAATCCCCATCTATTTGGTCTACAAAACCCTCTCCTCCTTTTGCCTCATTTGCTCACCAGTTGTCAACCCTAAACTTTTTTTCTTTTCCTCTGGCGTCCCCCCAAAAGCAGGAGAGTTGGGAATGGTTGGGGGATGATGGAAACCCAGAAAAACACCCACTATCAGTCCAATAAACGCAACACAACACTCCAATAGCAACAACGAACACAAAGCTACCAAAAATTAGCCTCCAAAAAGCTCCAAATCGATCAAATTAGAAAACCCAACAACGAGAGGACAGCGTTTCACGACCAACGATCGAAGGGAAACCAGGTGACGGGTTTGAGGGGTTTTGTATAGCAGAGGCCAGCGACTGGGTGAGTGGCAGAAGATTTGATTTTGGCTATCGGATTTGGTCGGTATTTGACCTAGAAAGACAGGAGACGGCCGGCGAAAACGATGGAATCTAGGCTAATTTGAGGTGGGAAAGGGTTGGATTTGTGAAACGGAGTTGATTTTGGCCGGTTTTGGTATGAAAACTGATCAGAATTGACCTGAACCGGCAGGCATCGGCGCCAGCACTTCTGGCCAAAAAAGGGGCAATTAGGCTAAGAAGGACTATTTTGACACTTTTACCCTTCAATGGTTAAAATAAAGAAAACGATGGTAGTTTAAGGGTGGAAATATGGAATAAATGCAACCAAGGGTATCAACTTAGAATTTCGTTAAACCTCAGGTGGGAACATGTTGTTTGCTCCATTGGGGGATGAATACCATATGTTTGCAATTTGCAGTTTATGGAGCATGAATCTGAAGCCACACGTACAGCACCTTTTAGTTTTATTTTTTTGCACATCTACTTTTCAGTCATGACCTTGATTAATGTATATTCTGATCAGATTGAAGGAAGGCAAACAGTTGAGTACGGTTCTCAACCATCCCGCTTTCCAGGTGGATCCACTGGCTGCCACTCATCAGCACTTGGAGAGCACAGCACCTGTTTCAGATGAGAAACCAAAGAAAAAGATAGAAAAAACTGCAAGGAAGAAGAAAAAGGGAGATAAGTCGAAGACTTCATCTGAACCTCAATCTATGGATTTCTGACTTGATGTATGGACTTTCATTCTTTCAAGAGCCAAACCTATCTATATTTTTGTTGTGAAAAGAAAGAATGAGCCAAACCTATTCATATTTTTTGCTGTGAAAAGAAAGAATAAGCCAAACCTATTCATATTTTTTGTTGTGAAAAGGTTATGCTGATCAAATTTTGTATATAATTGACCTTATATGTCTACTTATTAAAAATAGTAGCATGGTCTTTGTTGTAGATTTCGCAAGTGTACAAAATCATGCAAGTAATAAAGTGTAAGAATACGGATGTCGAACCCAAGGGAATTACTAATATCAAGTATCACACTAACCTATCTTATTGTTATTTGATTAATTAGATTTTCAGAATAATTCAATGAAAAATAAAACAACTTAGAAACAAAACAAAAACAAACTTTTATTAATAATTTAGTAGGAAATCAATACGACTAAACCTAGGGCATAGATTTCACACCAATTTAATCATATGCATTGACAATTATCGTTAACCCAATTAAGCTTATTCTAAAGACCAAACTCCCAAATATTTTTCCTAACTTTCTCTTGAACAATTAACAAATTAACTCCTAATTACTAACCCGAATTATCTCTAATCAAATTTAAGTAATGGGAGATCATTAAGTTGATCTATAGAATTTACCAGAGCCTTACAGATCGCGGTAACTTATCTCTAGCGTTCGCTCAATCTATTGTTTTATTACTTTAGACTAATTAGGTTTCATCTCTCGATCTCAACCTAACCCAAAAAATTATTCAACTCTAGGGCCCTTAAGAATTGAAAACTTTAAGCGCAATAATAAAACTTAAAACAAAACTTAATAAAAATTAGCAACAAATAATTCAATGCATATTCATAAAATTGGGCTACATCTTAGGCCTAGAAAATAAAATTAGTTCATACTTTCAGTAATAAAAGCTATTGTATTCATAAACATGAGTATAAGAAAGAGTAGAAAAACTTCTCTAATTGGTGACTCAAAATTGCAGGAATTTGCAATCTCCAAAGAGCAGCTGAACTTCTCTCCCTTCTAATCTCCATAAAAATCAGCTAAAGACATCTATTTATACTCATTGGGTTTTAGGGTTATGATTCCCACTATCCCAATCACTTTAAAACTCTTAAAACAAGAAATACACGTCATAAATTTAATGTAAAAAATGTCCAGAATCACAGTTGTGCCACGGCATTGTGCCTAGGCATAGTTGATTCAGCCCCAGAACTCGAAATCTTGACAAGACGGTGGTTTTTGAGCATGATAACGTTCGAATCCTGCCAAGTGTTAAACATATGAATTATAGCCATTTGAATCAGATTTCCAAAGGTTCAAGAATCATCTCAATCCAAAATCTACAGCTCAAGTTATTGTCGAATTACTGTTGCATGTTCAAAACTGGAGTATTTTCCAGGATTTTTACTTTAACTTCAAATCGCCCTAACTTCTTCGTTTCAGCTCCGAATCACGAACCATTTGATTCTTGTCGTCCTATATTCCATCGATATAACCTTCATCTGAATATCATCTTTAAGAACCTGAAAACACTTGAAACATACCCGTGATCCCATAAAAGACATTTATGAAATAATTAAATTAAATTTCACAAATTAAACACATTTTTCCACAAATAATCCAATTGAATCACTAACAAAATATGTATTTTCAAGCTTTTATCATAATGCTCCATTCTAGAGGAGCTTTCTGTTGTAAATGGGTTATTATCTTTATCCTGCTTGGACTGAAATATCAATGAAGAAGAATATATGAACGTAATTTCTTACTGCAGCCCCACTATTTTTTTTTTCAATACACTGCATTGTTTGTAAGCTGATCCTCTAATGATTTGCATCAAATTTGCCTGAATCAAATGCTTTGAAACTAAAGACTCCAAGATGCTTACTTCAAAGTCCACAATTGTGAATACAGAAGTTGGAGAAATTGTTAGGAATCTTAAACGTCATTGTTTGTGTGATCTGGAACTATTAAATGATTAAAAGGATATCACTTGCTTCTGTTTTCAGACAAACTGTAGGCTCTTTCTTATACTTTCTCATCTTGTTTATGTATTTCACTCATTATGTGCAAAGATTCAAATGACGTAATTATTGTTTGATATGGGGCCTGGCACCAACAGGAGAGACCACGTGCATACAACATGCCCACCTTCCAGACCTATGTCAATCTCATTTAAGGTAGTTCTCCTCAACATCAATTTTCTGTCATTGATTTCAGTAGCATTGTTCTTTATCAAATGCAAATAAAACGTTAGAGATAATTAGATGACTGAATTTATGTATGCTGGTAGTTCAAAATCTATGAATGTAGTTTATTCTGTAATCTCTGCTTAATCAACTAAATTGTAGGCACAAAGGGCTGCTTAAGAAAAAAATTCTGTTTTACAAGCTTGGCTAATGGCTGATCAGCATAGGGATAGGCAAGTGCCATTGGAACTTTCATTTGTGCGAGATTTTCAGAGTTTATCAACTGTGATATTTAGCATGGATTCATCATACATGAAGGCCTTATTTTATTAGTAGAATTTACAGCTATCCTTATGCCCTTCGTTTTTGTTAGAGAAACCAGGAATGAGCTTATTATTTTTTCTTCACAGAGATTGTTGGATGACCTTTAAGTGGTACATGATGGCCTCATTTAAGAGCTAGAATTTGAAGCCATCCTAATCAATCCCCTTCTTTGTTAGAGAAATTAGGAATAAACTATTAATTTGCCTTCACTGAGATACTAGCGGATGGCCTTTTAAGTGGTAGATTTTGAAGCTATCCTAGTCAAACCCCTTTATTATTTTTAGAGAAACTTGGAATGAGCTGTTATGCATCCTTCACTGTGATATTGTTGGATAGCCAATCAAGTCCCTCATAAAGCCCTTGGCCGGAGGTTGCAGAAGTACTCTGGATATACCTATAAAAGATAATTCACGAAAGCCATCAATCAATCTATTTTTTATACTGTCTGATGTGTAACTGTTATGCGAGCCAATCAAACCTGCTGCACAACTTGAGACATTAGGTAAATACATTACAAGTTTTTTGCTTCTTTGATATTCTGCTGAATTCCATACCATATACCCCAAGAGGAGACAAATGAACATAACAAGGGGGACCCCCGTGTTAGAATTGTAAAACAAACCACGTAAGAACAAAGAAGAAAGAAAGTACAGAGCGTAGTATAAAAATACAAGCTTCAAAGTCAATCAAAATAAATAAAAAGAACAATAGAATGAAACCAGATTCCAAAATATAAACACAGAAGCTTGTAGGCTACTAATTGTAGTATTTCAACTAAATGGAGATCGTAGAAGGTAAATTTTACCAGTGACGTTGGCCGAGAGAGTAAAGCCCAAGTTTATCAGCAACCTCAGAAGCAGGCATGGCATCCGAAAAATCTTGCTTGTTGGCAAAGACAAGCACAGTTGCCCTGCTTAGCTCATTCTGCATAATGGGAATGAAAAGCATGTCTTTCTGTTTAAATAAAATCACTGAAAATACAGAACATATTACACCGGAGAGAAACCTAAGTGATTATTTTTTTTTAGACTCTATAGGCGATTTAGAAAGGAAAAATGAAGTGAACCCATCCAAGTGCTCAAGAAATTCCAATGAAAGCTTGTTCTTGTATTGACAAATGAAAGTTGAAAAGTTGATTTTCACAACATTGAGTACTAACATCACCCAGAATCCGATGTAGCTCATTGCGGGCTTCTGAGATTCTTTCTCTGTCTTTGCTATCCACTACAAAGATAAGTCCTAGAGTGTTATGAAAGTAATGTCTCCATAATGGCCGAATCTGTTCAGTAAATTGGAAGAAGATGCACCTCAGTTATAATATTACTAACCCGATCGCAAGATAATTATCAAACTTTACACTTCCTTCTTTTATTGTCTTTTTCATCAAGGAAATGCAACCACAACTACATTGCAGCAATCAATATCAATCAAACGAAGTATTCAACTTGTTTTAGGAGGAAATTAAACTTTTGTGGGAACAAAACTAATCTTTTGAACATTTTAAACATTAAATAACAGTATTCTTGTTATTTCCTTGCTTTTCTGTGGCTTGTACGTTTCTTTGAAACTTCAGTTCACCTTTCGTCGAAATACTATTATAAGATTTGTTTGATTGAATTCCGGTTAACTACTGGATCAAATCTTTATATGTATATAATGAAGCAAATGACATTAGCTTATGTTTACCTGACTTTGACCTCCTACATCCCAGACAGAGAAGCTTATGTTTTTGTACTCAACAGTCTCTACATTAAAACCTGGCATGGAACATAAACAAAACAATGAACCAAATTAGATGGTAAAGTTCAAAGGTAATGAATTTTAAAGGAATTTTTTTTGGGTGGAGCATCTTAAAATGACAATCACTTCTGTAGAAAGCTGTCCCAGAAGCTCTGAGTATACCGAGCCTATAATCACAATGAGTTAATAGCAAACGAAATTATTGTTCCTTGACCATTTTCGGTTATTGGGTTAGTTTTCTATCACTGCTATAAAGCTGAGTCTGCATTTTCCAAATCAGATGGTTATATTTCTCAATCTTATTCTGACTGGCTCCTACGGAACCAAAGTCGAAAAGATGGAGAAAAATCATTCACAACCACTAATGAAGGATTCCTCGAAAAGTTAATGATTAGTTTAGTAATCCATTTTAGAAATCGAATAGATTTGATCTTATACCTAAGTGAGGAAGGTAATAAAAAAATAAAGAAGATGAGTTCTTCTTTACTTTTATCACTTAGAAGCCATGCGAAATGAGAGTCTCATGCACAGTTTTAGATGAGAAAGAAGTGAATAAAAATGAGAATCTCATGCACAGTTTTAAAGGAGAAAGAAGTGAATAATTTTCTTTTCGACTCTCACTCTGCCACTTATTTGTATCCGAGGCAGCCATGGATACCCAAATATGAGAGATATGAAAAACCGACATAGTAAGAGAGATACTGAACAATGTAGAGAAGCCAAAGAAATTATTAAATTTAAGAGTTTGTAAGGCATATTAACATACCGACTGTTGGTTCAGTTGCAACAATTTCTCCAAGCTTCAGCTTGTATAGAATGGTTGTCTTCCCAGAAGCATCAAGACCCACCATCAGAATTCTAATTTTACACTGGGGGAAAAACCTCTTTGCAAGTCGAGATATATGTTTACCCATACCACAACAAACAAGAAGAAAAATTTCAGTTGATAAAAAACTTTATTTCAAGAAGCAAGTAGAAACATGAAATTTTTATTTTTCCTGCAGAACAATTATTGATGGACCCAGGGTGACTAAATGAGACAAACGAAGGACTAAGGGTGGGCAAAAAGTTGCTCTCTTACAGCGTTTTAGTGGGACTCAGGAAGTAAGCCCGTTGGAAGTACTGATGGCGACGAAGCAAAATGGAATGGTTCTGGAATATCGCCACTCTTACAGTGTTGAAGAATAAAAAAATGACCACTAAAACTTTAAAATTTTCAGAATGGCCAAACTATAAACTAAAGTACAATATTAGTGTCAGAATAGCCGAGTACTTACATTTATTTTTCAGTTGATAAACTCATACCTCAACGACGGGTTATTTTATTAAAAGGTCATAAAAAATTCAAATTTAATTAAAAGACCATATAGTTTAAAAGTGTTAAGTAAATAACCTTGTCTTTTATTAAGTTTAATTAAACATGATTAGGGGTAAATTAGGATTAATGAAGTATCTTGTAATCTTTTAAAAATTATAATATATCCCCAAAAAACCAAAATTCTTGCAAACAAACCCAAACACCCTCTTCTTCTTCCTCCTGCCACATTAACGCATCCCTCCCCTGGTTGTAAGCTTCGTCTACATCTTCTTCTTCTTCTTCTTCTTCTTCTACTGCATCTTCTTCTTCGTCTACATCTTCTTCTTCTTCCTATACATCTTCTTCTTCTTCCTCCGTCCTATACATCTTCTTCTTCCCGCCATTAACACTATCTTCTTCCTCTGCCATTAACATCTTCTTCACCACAAATCCTCCTCCTCCTCCTCCTGACATTTCATCCAGGTATGTGTATCTCCCCTTTCCATTTTATATTTCGATTTACAAAGATTTAAGGATGGATTGGGTTTGAGTTATGATTTTGATTTAGTTGTTTAGGTTGTTGGGTTGTGTTTGATGTAATGGAAGTTGAAAGGAGTGAAATTTGTTCAATATACATTGTGGGTAGCTAAGGGTGGTAGCACCGATTGTAGGTGGAGATGACTAAAAATGTGTTATGGATATGATGGATCGCTTAAACGATCTGGTATATAGTAGAAGATTGCTTAAGTGATCTGCTAAAAGTTTGGTGTATAGCAGCAGATCGCTTAAACGATTAGGTAAATGACATAAGATTGCTTAAACGATCAGACTTATTTATACTGGATCGCTTAAGCGATCCATTATATTGCTTAAGCCATCTAGTAAATGATATACCAGATCGCTTAAGCGATACACTATATCACTTAAGTGGTACAGTACCAGATCACTCAAGCGACTCTGCAGATGCTTTTTAAAATCTTTCAACCTTTAATACATCAGTTAATAATATTTTTTTTCTTGCATTATAGGTACTTGGCTATTATTAGACATGGGACAAGTTGTTTTGGGTGTTGAATATTTTGCTAAGTGGGTGGAGGAAGAAAGTTGTTGGAAGTGGATTGGGATGAGCAAAAAAGTTATATCAATTTCTGTGAGCACAGAGGTTAGTTTTGATGAGTTGATTGATGAAATAATTAGAAGAGGTAATTTGAGTTGCTCACGTAGCGATATAGTTGTGAAGTATGTTTTAAGAAGAGTTCCTGAACATTATAAGGTACCTCTTGCTATATTAAAGTCGGATGAAAGTGTGAAGTTATCTATGATTGATGTGGCCGATAATGGTTCGAGACCGATTTTAAGGGTTTCTTTTGTAGATAAACCGTTGGAAGTTGGTTCAAAGGAAAGGGATAATGAGGAAGTTGGCGGAGATTTGTTTGGTTTTAATTTGAACTACAAGGGCATTGATTTGTTAGTTGAAAAATCAAGAGTAGGTGGTGATTTGCGTGGTGAGGAGGACACTGTAGAAGAGGTTGGTCATGTGCGACTGAATGAAAATGTTGAGGAGGAGGACCCCGTACATGTTCCCGTAGATGTAGAGATTCCTTTAAATATAGATTATACAGAAGATATAGTTTGTGAGAGAGAGAACACTATGGTCGTTTATGCAGGTTCAGATGGGGCAATTGCAGGTAGTAGTGAATCAGCTCTTTTTTTACGGATGGATCGGAGTTGCACATAGGGTATTTATTTGACAACAAAGACGAAGTGGTGAGGAAGCTAAAACTTGTTGTCGTGAGAGGTAATTTTGAGTTCATCACCAAAAAGTCTAATTCATCGGTTATGACGGTTGCATGATGTGACCGAAAATGCAAGTGGCAGGTTTATTGTAGAAGATTGCCGGAGTCCAAAAAATTTATTCTTAGCATATATACCTGTGAGCACACATGTGGTTTGGGACATATTTCAAGTGAGCATCGACAAGCCTCCGCTGATGTTATTGGACAATTTGTCAAAAGTCAGTTCGTTGAAAGAAAAGGTCCATCTCCTAAAGACATTCAAAGACTTGTGTGCAAAGAGTTGGGATGTGCTCCTAGTTACTGGAAATGCTGGAAAGGGAGACAACATGCATAAGATTTTGTGAGGGGCACATCGGAGCACGGGTACGTAGTATTAGAAGCGTATCGTTATATGCTTGAGTTGAGAAACTAAGGTAGCAAGACGCCTTTGAAGTGGGACAAGAATATGATGTTTAAATATTTTTTTGTTGCTTACGGTTCTGCTATAAAGGGGTTTTGTAAACATGAGAAAGGTGTTGGCTGTTGATGGTTGCTTTTTTTCAGGAAAGTATGGAGGTATATTGTTGGTGGCTGCTGCACAGGACAGTGAGAATCACACATATCCCGTTGCATGATGTGTGGTTGACTCTAAGAATGACAAGTCATGGACTTAGTTTTTTCAGCAATTACGTACGATAGTGCTTGACAGTGACAAGTTGTGCATAATATCCGATAGGCACAACTCTATAAAGAAGGGGATTGCCACTATTTACCCTCAAGCACATCACAGATTATGTATGAGGCACCTTGGTGAGAACATAAAACAAAAGTTTAAGTGTACTGGCCTTTTTCAGACATACTACATGGCAGTAAAAACTTATCGAGTTGATGAGTTCGAGGAGCACTTCCTGCAAATCCGAATCAAGGATGATAGAGTTGCTAAGTATCTTGAGCATGATGTTGGTTTCGAGCGATGGAGTAGAGCTTGCTTTCCTGGAAGAAGGTTTGATGTCATGACCACGAAAATAGCTAAGTCCATAAATTCAAAGTTGTTAATAAAAAGAAAGTTTCCAATAGTTGCCATTTTTGATGCAATCCAGAGGACATTGTCATGGTGGTTCCATGAGCGTCGTACGGAGTCAGATAACTTTTTTACAACCCTTGTTCCGTCAGCTAAAAAATTATTGCGAGAACGTATGGAACTGTCAAATGCACTATTTGCCTATCCTTTTACTGCTCAAGAGCTCACCATGCGTGGCTATGGTCTGGATGCCCTAGTTAACGTTGTTAGTAAAACTTGCAGCTGTAAAGTGCTTGACATTCAATGTTTACCTTGTCCTCATGCACCAACAACACTGAAACACCAACGGAAGCCCAATTTGGTTCAAGAATCTACATGGAACTTTGCTCCCCTCTCTATCTAGTTCCTCCAGAAGAGTAGTGGGGAGAGCCACTAGAGTTGGCTGACATTATCATCCATCCGCCATTCAATAAGACAGAAAATGGGAGAATAAGAGTTAAGCGTATTCCATCAGCCTCTAAGGTTCCCCAGAAGATGAATAAGTGCTCAATTTCAAGCAACCTAGCCACAAGAGAAGCAATTGCCAGAATCAAACACATACAGATCCAGAAAACTAGGTTCGAAGAAGGATAAAATCGAAAGAGTTGCCAAGGCCAACCGTTGAGGAGTTGTTGTTTTCAATTTTTGATGTTTCAAATTTTATTGTTACCTTGAATAAATCATCCTTTATATTTAGTATTCTTGTTACATGGCCTAAATATGTGTTGGTGATTTTAGTTTGGAATTAGGTTGTCAAATTGAAGAGAAAGTATGGAATTAATATGTGTTGGTAATTTTAGTTTGTCAAAATTCAGGAGAAAAGTTGGAAAAAATATGTATTGCCCATGATCGCTTAAGCGATATATAAGCAACTAGATATATCGCTTAAGCGACAAAGGGTTTTTCATAAAGGATCGCTTAAGCGATAGTATAAATCGCTTAAGCAATCGCGCACCTGGGCAGATCTTGCTACCTTGGGTAAAAGTGAAGAATCGCTTAAGTGATTGTGCATTTGGGCAGATATTGATTTTGCCTCATACTTAATTTCTTAAGCGATCGTCGATCGCTTAAGTGACCAAGGGTAAAAGCAAAGAATCGCTTAAGCTAGATCGTAAATCGCTTAAGCGATCGTGTAACTGGCAGATCGGGATTCTGCCTCAGAGTTGATCGCTTCAGTGATTGTAGATCGCTTAAGCAACCAAGGGTAAAAGCGATGAATCGCTTAAGCGATTGTGCAACTGGCAGATCTTGATTCTACCTTGGACTTGATTGCCTAAGCGACCGAGGGTAAAAGCGAAGAATCGCTTAAGCGATCGTGCATCTGGACAGGTGTTGATTTTGCCTCAGACTTGATCGCTTAAGCGAGAAAGGGAATCGCTTAAGCGATCGTGCATTTGGGCACATATTGATTTTGCCTTGTACATGATCGCTTAAGCGATTAAAGGTGTAACAATTACTTTCTTCTATCATATTCATAATATAGATTAATAAAAAGACAACATAATTATCAAAACAGTTGGGCCCAAAAATTTTTCTTTACTTAATAATTACATTCTTTTCAAAGTACAACATCATTTGTACAAAAGACTCTCAAAAACGAAAACAGTGGACAGTGCAGCCAAGTCTCCCCGCTTGCCGACGTCCCTCCAACCAGGTCCTCACCTATGTCCTGTACAACAAAGAAAACACGAAGTGAGCACAAAGATGCCCAGTAAGTAAAAATCTCTTACTCTATCATTCCCGTGCATTACTCATCAATTCTCTTCGTACTCTTATCATTTTTTTCTAATTCGAAAATCTCATTT